TACTGCCCTGGCCAGCCTGTTCCAATGCCTGACCACCCTCTCCTGACCTATCACTTGTTACCTGGGAGAAGAGACCAGCTACCTCCTGGCTCCATCCTCCTTTCAGGGAGTAGCAGAGAATGAAAAGGTCCCCCCCGAGTCTTCTCTTCTCTACACTGAACACTCCCAGGTGCCTCAGCTACTTCTCATCACACTTGTGCTACAGACCCTTCACCAGTTTCGCTGTCCTTCTCTGGACCCACTCCAGCAACACAATCCCTCTCTTGTAGTGAGGGGCTCAGAACTGAACACAGGATTCAAGATGCAGCCTCACCAGTGCCGAGTACAGAGGGATGATCACTGACCTGGCCCTACTGGCCACACTATGTCTGATACAGAGCAAGATGCCATTGGCCTTCTTGGCTGCCTGGGCACAAGCTGGCTTATATTCAGCGGCCATCTTTCCATCGGGCAGCTTTCCGGGAAGCCACAATATTTAAAATGCATCTGGTTATTACCACCACCATGGACTCAGGTTTTAACAGAAAAAGTAACTCTCTTACTGGAACCCACTGCCTAGTCCCGCTGCTCCCCACCCTCCCATCCCCAGCACAGTGATGCTCTCACATTACTGATGCTCTCCACATCACTGTCGGCTGGCAAAACCCGAAGCCAGGATCCATCCCTAAAACATCCTGCCACATGTCCTTGTCATCTCAGAAAAGGAAGGCTGGAGTGTGTCACACAGCAAGAGAAGAAGTAGCTTATCCAAAAACCTGAATGCCACAGATCGTTACTAGGGCTTTGGGGACCAAAGTCTACAGCTGTACAGGAAGGAGAGGAAACCGAGGGAGGAGAGAACACTTTGAGCTCAAGCTAAGCTTGCTTTCTGCCTGGCCCATAAAAGCCCTGTATATGCTCTGTATAGCTCTGCTTGCTGCGAGTTAAATGGCCAGATTCTCCTGGATGGCTCATGCAACAGAAATCTCCTGGTGCTCCCCCCCAAAGGACCTGCTGCTCTCCCATCTGCAAGAACACCAGCCTCTGGCTGCCCCACACACCATGACCGGGCCATTAGACAGAGCAGCTCAGTCTGTGCCTACGAGGGCTGCGTGTGTGTAGGAGCCAGCTTGTTCTCCGCAGTAAGAGCCCAATGACTTCATCAAGGGGATGGCATCTGGTTTTGCAGTTGGCCATAATTCAATTCTCCCCCTTGCTGCAGGAATTTCAGCTGGTGAAGCAGTGATTTACTCAGCCAGGCTGCACTTGAGTGCAAAGCAATCTTGAGGCTACAATCGAACACCCTGTTATTTTGAGAGCTTGCAGGCAAGGGAATAAATATCCTCTTCTTTTCATCCCACTGGTTGCCAAGTGCAAGGTACAAAGCTTTTTAAAGGCATTTAGGGGCTCTCCTCTTACAAGCATGCTCCTTGTGCCATGTACAGCCAGGCAGGGCCCTGCCTGCACAGCTCACTTCTGATCTGCAGCATCAAGACAGGATTTACCAGGACAGCGAGAAAAAGGCCAGGACACCCTTCACCTGCCCCCACTACAGCTGCATCTCTGAGCATCCCTCATCCTTCCCAAAACCCTTCTCTGTCACCCCAGCACACCGGCTTGCAGCAGTTCATCCTGCCCCTCCTTCAAACAATCCAGGACACTGATTCTCTTCCAGTTCTGGGTTCCCACATTTGCTATTCCAAGTCTGGTGTCTGCTCCAATGGGAAAAGCAAATCAAACCAAACCGTTCCAGATGGACCAACCCCCCTCATCTTTGACCTTCCTTGCTGTCCCACTAATGCTCATCCTTTGGGAGGTGTATCAGCTGTGGGGTTCCCTGAAGGACTGATGTGCTGAGGAAGGGCTCACCTGGGTCATGCATTGCCCTGCCAGAGCCTTATGGGATGTGCCCATCAGGGAGCTGGAAGAAAGACTGGAAAACTCCTTCTTGCTGGGGCCTGATTCAGTGGCACATCCCAGCTGGATCACACCCTGGCTGGATGTGCTGGATCCGGGCTCTCTGGGGACAGCAGGTTGGTGCAGAGGCCAAGCAGAGCCCCAGGTTAGGAAGTTTTTATGGCTGCCCAGCCCTGTGAGCACTTTCAGGTGCACATCCGACTCAGTACAGCTCGCTGGGCCACAAAGAAGGAAACCTCAACTACTGCTATGACAAACCTAAAGTCCTCATCATATCCCCCCATTCCCAATAACCAAGAGCTGGGAATTTCAGGATTTTCTGTTTGAAGAAAAGCAACATATCCACCCCATCTGCATTAAAAACAAGGTGCCTCCTTCCAGCCCCACAACGAGTCTGGCTGGCAATTGCAGAGAACTCCCTGTTCCAAGTACGAGACCGGCTCTGAGCGAGCAACAAAACAGGGAAGCCAAAATATTTCCAGGTTTACGTTTGAATCCCTCCCTTCTCCTCTGCCCTGACAACATCCAGCACAGGCGTGTTCCTCCCCTGCCACCACCTTCCCGTTCCCAGCACTGGGGAGGTGTTTGAACAGCCCCTCAGCCCCCTGCTCAGTTTTGGCTTAACGCTGCCATCACATCCCTCCCCATCGCCAAGAAAAGCCATTTATCAACTGATCCCATGCACCTTCAGTAGGGATGGATCCTTCTCTGGAATCAACCTGGATGGACCTAGGGCACAAAATCCCCATTGGGGGGGGGAAGGGGAGGAGGAGTGTATTACAGCTGAAAGTTGAAGACAAACAGAGAAAGCCAAAGCAAACTGGAGCTGGCAGAGCAAAGCCTGACATCTGGGGCAAAACTAGGCCAGATTTTGAAAGTACAAAAGGATTTGCAAGAGAACTCATCCCAGCCTGTGCTGCGACAAAGAGGTGGGGGTCATCCAAGCACCCTGGGATATCAGGGTCCCAGATGGGAGGGCAGAGTGCCCGTGAGCATCCCACACTGGGACCTGGCACAAGGCACAAGCAGGAACTGTCAGCAGTGGCCTGCTCTGCCCAAGCCTCCTTCCCCAGCAGCGCCACTCTCAGTGCTCACATGGGAGGATCCATATGGGGGGGCCCACAGCAGCGCCCCCAGCCCAAGGGAGCCCGATAGCAGGGGCCACCCAGGGGCAGCAAGGTGAAGCCATGAATGTGAGAGCAGCATGAGCGGGAAACCAGCCCGAGGGGGGAGTGCAGAGGGGCTAAAGCAAATAAATAAATGGGCAGAGCTCGGTGAGGCACGGATGTGACACTGAGTGCCCAACTGGGAGCCTCCAGCTACTCCGTTCACACGGGACCCTCAGGAAGGGGACAAAGCTTTCTCCGGGTTGGGAACCCCCGAATTCCCCAAAAGCACAGGGGAAAAAGGACAAAGGATTTGCCAGGGGAAAAAGAAAAATCCCCCTTTTTCCTATCTCCCCACCCAAAACGCCTTCAACAGCAGCCCCCGACACGCTCCCAGCCCTGCGCATGGGGAGCACCCTCTCCGCCTGCGCCCCGCTCCCGCGGGCTCCGGATCACCTCGTTCTGCCAGTTCTTTGCACCTTATTTGACTGCTGACGGGAGAATCAAACAAAGCAGCAGCCACATCTCCTATCAAGTTCTTTCTTGCACCGTAAATCTCACAGCCCTAACGCTTTGCAACTCAACCGTTCCGAAAAGGGCGTTAAGCAACACAGAGGGGAGCAGCTCCAGAGCTTCTAGAACACACACACACAGACGGGGTTCAGCTTCCAGCTGCCGGGAAGTCCCCTGGGAGAAGCGGGGTGCGGAGGGACACCCCAGTGCTAAGTGCAGCGCTGGAAAGGTTCCGCTTCCCTGCGCCAGGGCGAAGGAGGGAGGAAGGGCACAGAGCAGTTCTTTATTTATTTCCTACATGTGTGTGCAAGACGCTGCACCTACGGTTATGCAAAAGAAAGGCAGGGGCGACTTCGGGATTAATACATTTAAAAAGGGTAAGATTTACTAATGCAAAAAGAGAAACACGGTGATTTCAGCTTTGGGGCTTCTCTTTCCCCCTCCTGCTTTTCTTTTTTTTCCCCTCCTTGCAAATGAAGGGGAAAAAAAAAAAAAAAAGAAGAGGTAAAGAAACTGGAGAGTTTTGGAAGGAACAAATCCGCCTCTGTGGACTTGGCTTCCCCTCCCCCAACAAAAACAAGCACTCGGGGCTTGAAGGAATTTGCAGGCAGAGATCTGCCAAAAACATTGTGAAAAACTGTGGGGGATTCATTGGAAACAGATGGCGTTTTCAGCTGTAATTCTGACATTCTCTCCTTTTCTGACACCACACAAACACACCGGGCGGGGGGAGCGGGGACCCGCACTAGGTGCGGCTGGGGCTGCGCGGGCTGGGGGGGGCCGATGTGCGGGACCATTCGGTTGCCATCCCGCCCTCGGCCAGCACAACAGCTCTCCAGTGGAATAATGGTGCTGAGCCACTGAAAACCTCCATCCCGCGGCTGGGAGCGGCGAGAACGGGGAGCCCGATACAAGTGCCCCCCCGTCCGCCGCCGCGCTGCCGGCCCAGGTAAGCCCCGGGGCCGAACCCCCCCCCTTTGTGGGGGCCCCCAGCATCCCAAAGAAACCCCCTTATCCGTTCCGCAACCTCCAGCTCTGCCTTTTCCACGGTAGTCTCGGATCGGGGACCCCCCACTGCACTCAACGGCAGAAATGAGGCATCTGGGGGGCTCACTTGGGGGGGGTCCCCCCCATTTGCAAAGCACTGGGCACACCCGGAAAGGGGAGCACAACGGAACCTGCCCGCCGCTGTCACAACAACCCTCCGCCGGGGGCTGCTTTGATTCCCACCATCTCCTTCCTTGTGGGATGAGACAAAGAAGATGAGGTCAAGGAAGAGCCCGCACCGCAACTGCTTCGGAAAAACGGGGATTGGGGAGGGGGGAGCACACACCGAACCTGAGCCCCGCTCGCTCCTTTGAAACATGTGGCAAAGCGCTGCAGAGAGGGAAGAGAAAGAGGCCCCGAGACAGGGGCCGGAGGCGGCTGTCCAAGGGCTGGAGAAACACGGGGGAAACGCTGCGAAATAAAGAGGCTGTTCCTTACCTGAAGGGAAGATGCAGAGAAAGACAAGGAGGATTTGGAAAAGTCCCAGGGCTGTGGATCCTGCCCCTCTCCCCATACCCATCCATCCAGCTCGAGCTTTAACCACTATCCTCTCCCTGGAAGAAGAGTTGGAAAACAAAAAAAAAAAAAAAAAAAAAGAGAGAGGAAGGAAAAAAAAAAAAAAAAAAAGAAATCAATTGAAAGAAAGAACTGGAAAAAAAAAATCAAATCAAAAGACCCACATGGCTGCGCGGAGCGATGCAGGGACGGGCGGCCCCAGCTCCGGTAGCCTCCGCACTGAAGGATTACACAGACGTTTTCTCCTTCTCCTCCTCCTCTCTTTCCCCTCCCATCGCAAACCAGCCCACACCATCCATCATCCCGCTGCCTTCCAATGTCCGCATCCTCTCGCTGTGCCTCCTCCTCCCGCCGGAGCCTCCCGGGAAGAGGCGGAGGAACGCGCTGCTCTGGGCGGGAGCGGGGCGGGACGGGGCACACGGCAGGGGGGTCTGTGCTGCGGACCGGGCCCAAACTCCCTGTGCCGCGTTATAGGGAGGGTTTGAGTGCGCTTGTCCCCGCGCGGGGGGGGGTTTTGGTGCTGCTCCGCGTCCCGTGTGCTGCAGCTCGAGGGGGCTTCGAGAGAGGGGCTTCATCCACCGCACCCGTCGCGCCCTCCCCGCCTCTGTGCCCTGGGGCTGACCGGAGCGTTTTGATGCCCCCGGAATGGAGGAATCTGGGGCAAAGGGGACCACGTAGAGTGAGGGGGAAACTGAGGCAGGGAGACGGCATGCAGCGGGATTGCAGGAGCAATGCTGCAACCGGCGGGACACTGACCCCCGGCACAGGGAGCTCCTCCACACCACCCCAGCCCTGGCTGCGTGGTAGGTGTGAGCGTTTCACAACCTTTCCAGGTCATTCACCCTCGCTGGCAATGCCAACGCTGAAGTAAGCCCGGATGACTCAGAAACAGCAAGTCTCCTTATCGTTATCGTTAGATGACATTCCTCAGAGAGGGGCAACTCTTGGGGGTCCTGAACCCAGCTGCCAACCCCCTGAGGGCTGATGGGAAGGACTAACGTGTACCTATGCTCTCTTAGGACATCTGCCGCAGCCTACTCTGCACCACCAGCCTGTGGATAGACTTGGATGTTCACCTTTTGCTGCAGGAAGGTCTCACTAGTTGCATTGATTGTTATCCTGGAGGTCTCACTTTGTGAGCACCCCCTTAGAGACCCTTTGGGCAGCCCTCAGGCAGAGGGCAGATCTGGGAGTACCCTTCCTGCTTATGGACCACGTGAATGGAGCAGCAGCTTGAAGAGCACAGGGATTTGACTGGTGGGCTTCAAAATGCTGCTTGAGGAGGTGAGCAGGTTGGATCTGCAGCCCCACCACCCCAGGGGTCTGCTCCACCAGGAAAGGGCCAGAGCCAGGGGGAGACATCCCCTTAACAGCCCACTTGGAGCTCTTGGAAATCTCCCTTGAAGGATGTTATAGCCACAGTGAACTAAGACCACTTGTGAATGCGAATGCCCACGGAAGTAATATGCTTTAACTTCCCTGTTTTAGATCATTTGCCTTCCTGTGATGGAGTGCCCCCTCTACATCCTAACATTTCATCTCCTTTCTCATCTTATACAAAGAATAGAAGGTTGTTTCACACAACCCGTTTTCCAACTCTGCAAATGCTCTTTAACAGCGGGTCATTTCTCCTGTAGCTTGGTATAGGCCTGGGATGCTCCTTGACTTTGCATCTCATTGTCCTTGGAACCGTCCTTCTCTTCCACCTCACAAGGATGCTTTTTAAAGTGATGGTAGCTTGAAGTCTCCATTAAGAGTTTGTGATCTCCCTGTCATGAATTGAATCTGTGATTCAGCTACAGCAAATTTCCTGTGGAAGGTAAGGTGAGGAAGAGGAGATGGGAGAAAGTATCCAAGAAGCAGAGTTATCTATTAATACCTATCTAGTTTTCCTTGTGGTGTTTGAGCCCCCTTGCCTCCAAGTGAAGGAGGAGCCTTACTGGGGCTTTATTCAGGCTGCAACAGGAATTAAAATGCTGGAGCTTTTCCCATCTGGGACCCAGATGGGATCCAAAAATCCTGAGGCCTGCCTGCTTGACTGGAGATTTGTCTTGGTCCCGATCCTCCCGCAGCTGTGCTCAGATGATGTCCACTAAAATGAGAAGGAGCTCTGTGTGCACAAGAGCTGCCAGAGCGGGCTGAGCTGGGCAGGAGATGAAAGCTGGCAGGCCGGATCCAGACCTGTAGCACAGGCAGTGTGGGAGGAACGCCTCCACGAAGCACCTCTTTGTGGGGGATGTCAAACAGGGGCAAATATGTCCAAACCCTGCCAGCTGCTGCTACCACCCAAGAAGAAATGCCTGCCGATGGGATGTGTAGGCAGCTGGAGCTGGAAGAGGCCTGGAGGAAGGAGGGAGAGGGTCCAGGAGCTGGGGGGAGCCCAAGCATGAGGGGTACATTTCAGACCCCAAATCCCTTCTTCTTGCTCTCACCCTGTTCTCTTGCAATGCAGCTTTTGCTCTTATTTCAATGTGAAAACCCAGTTCTGCTGTTATCCCAGCTGATGACACATAACCTGATCTATGTACTTTTAACTCAAAAAAACCCCCGTCTGAATTATGAACTTCTAAACCCAAGCTGCTAACGTGCTGCTGTGAGGCTGGTTTGTTTGACCCGAAGCACCGCTTTGGTATTGCCGCTCTGTGGCAAGCTGACACTTTGCAGTGATAGACTGGAATCCAGTTTGAAGCATTATGAGACCCTTGTTGGAGCTTCTGCCTTTGGTGGAGGGAAAACTGTGCTCTATAAAGCCATGCTTTGATGCCCGTGGCTCCAGTTTGTAAGAATTTCTCCTTGATTTTGTTCAGTTGCATCATGCATTGCAAAGGGGATTGCTGTTCTTGGCACTGATCAAAGCAGCGGATTTCGCTGGAGAAAACAACAGATGTGTCCAAACCGTAACTGCCGAGCAGGAAAAGCCCCAAATAAGGTGTGTTTCTGAAATCCTGCTCCCCCTTCCATGTTTTTCACATAACCTTCATCTTTCTGGTAAGCCAAATCAAAGACCTGCTGCTGAACCACGTGCTGTGTGAAATTCGGATCTCTGCTGTGCTGAGTGGGGATATCTAGGCTTGGAAATGTGGAATGCCTGTGTTTTCCCCAGCTTCTTTCGTTCTTGAAGCCCAGCCCGATGCTCTTTGCAACCAGTGTGTGGGAAACCACCCACCGCTGAATGCAAACACCTCTGAGGCATGGCGCAGTTACGCTGTGTAGCGGCTCAGCTCCGGGGGCAAAGGCACCTCCGTGGTCATCTGCACATTGAGCTGCTCATGTTTGGTGTCATTGTGGAGGGATGACATGCAAATCAGAGCCAGGGGCAGCTGGGAGCATTTTCCAAGGTGTTTGCAGGATGGGGGGGAAGATTCCCAATTCCCAGGGGAAACTCAGCCAGGATCACTCATCTGTACTTTATTTCTCTCTGCCCTGCATCACACTGTGCATGGCTGTGGGCTTCAGTGGGGCTGAATGAATGTGCCTAATCCAAACCCTAAGGTTTACAGATGATACCTCCCCTCACAGCATTCCTAATGGAATTATTCCCTACCTGTAATTATATGGCTAAAATAGTAAACATAGGTATTTCTGAGGATGGTAATTCGTAGTTAGAGGAATGGATGTCAGGGCTCCTGGTCTGCTCCTGACTCTCCCATGAACTTCCTGCGTGGCCACTCTTCACACAACTATCTCCACACAGTTTCAGCCCTGCCTTTGCCTTCCCTGCCTCAGGACAAGGTGTTCAACAAATGCTGCTCATGGCCCGGTTTGGATAAGCCCATATCACCCATGCAGGAAGCTAATCCCAAAACCTTCAGCAATGAGATGTGTTTGGGGTGAGCACCAAAAAGCAAATTGCTCCCTAAAGGAGAAAGGAAGTTTGGACCGGAAAACCCCGAATTGTTGTCTCGGGAGGTTTGACAACTGATCCCAAAATGTTTGTGGAAGTAAAACCAAACGTCTGTGCTCTGAACAGCTCCCTTACTAAATGAAAAAACCTCTGAACAAGAAGAAGCACAAAAAGAACCCATTCGTCTTTCTGCAGTAACAGCCACACCTCCGATGTTTGCAGTACTGAAAAACACTGCAGTGCCTTTTGAGGATCTTCAAAATCATTTTACAGTCATAGAATCACAGCATGGTTTGGGTAGAAAGGACCTTAAGATCATCGAGTTCCAAACCCCCTGCCATGGGCACGGACACTTTTGACTAGACTGCATTGCTCAAGACCCCATCCAACCTGGCCTTGAAGTCTCTTGTCTGACAGCACAAGCAGATGCTCTCCTGGAGCTGGGCACCTCAAGGTACTGAATAAACATCTAAACCACTGCCCCCCCCTTCCCTGCTAACCTGTTGCCTTGCAGCACAATGCCTGACAGGGAAAGTGAACCCCAAGGTCTCACCAGGGCCCTGCGTAGAGCTGAATAGGGCAGGTGGAGGTGACACTTGGAGCTGGGCTTTGAGAACCAACCTACTCCTGCCTCAGCGCAGAGCAGAGTGTTCTGGTTTGGCAAATCCACCTCCCTACAGCTCTAAATGTGAGACTTGCCAGTCTGGCTGTGTGAAAAGAGGCCACTGGGTTGAAGGTGGAGTGAAATACAGCTTTGTAACACCAATAAATAAACCAGTAAGAATGCTCTGCATCTTTACATCCGCAGCCCCAGCTGAAGCTGCTGTGGATAACCCTGCCGCAGGCTCTCTTGTTGAATACCAGCTCCAAGCTCACAGCCCTAAAAATCACCTCTAAATGCTCACAGCCAGCCAGGCTGGACAAGGGGAAGGGATGATGGGCTGGTGGAAGACTTCCAGTCTCACCCACAACAGAAAGCAAACCAAGCAGGGATGTTTCCAGGAGTTCATCACAACTTTGTGACTGGTGGCATTTGTGTCTCTCCCTTTCCCTTGCTCGCAAAGCCCTGTGGGCTGAGTCCTGACTTCTCCACATGGGAGCATGGAACCATCCCTTGTTCGGCACTGTTTGGAGGGCTGGCTGGAATTCACCATCTGGATATTTAGCTCTCTGCAGGGAGCTGGTCTTCCTGGCCCAGTCTCCTCTTTAGGGTAACTATCAAGCAATATTGCTGTAGTGTATCTTCTGCACATCTGGGTTCCCCTTTAAAAGACAACCTTGGGAGATTCCCAAGAACAAGTTCAAATGGCCAAATGTCAGCTCAGCAGAAAAGGTGGATATATCTGAACTGCCAAAAAACGAACAGCACAGAGAGTTTCAGAGAACTGGGTGTTTATCAGCAGAGGCAGAAACTGCCTGTGTAATGGGGCAGCTTTTCTCTGTTGCCCTTAAAGACACCATAGTAAAGTGGAGGTCCCTAATTGTCCCCCACTTTAACTGACAGGTCAGCTAAGGACATCTTCTGGATCCCATTTAAAGGTGGGAGACGGCATGGCATGTTTGGAAGCCCAAATCTTCAGCCCTTTGAGAAAGGGGTGTTTGAAGGATCCTATGGAAGAAGCTCTGGGAAACCCAGCATCCTTTGCCAGCTCTCCTTCTGTCAGCTCCTAACAGCAGTGGCCAGAAATACAGCCCAGTGCGGGATGTCTTGGTCATGGAACGCTGAATGACAGTGTCACCAGCTGGTTTAAAACTCTTCCCTGATACCTGAGAAACAGACATTCCTTCTTAAGGGTGCGAGCGGGACACACACAGTCCCAACAAAATAACTTTAATCCAGCACCTCTACAGGTATTTTGGCAAACAAAACTGGGAGCTTTTGTGGAGCAGCATGGAAGCAGCACCAGCAGTGCTCCTAGGTGAGCCCAGTTCAGGGCTGGGTCTGGGGTTGGGATGGGTACAGGACTGGGATTGGGACTGGCACTGGGCTGGGACTGGACTGGAGCTGGGGCTGGGTTGGGATTGTGGCTGGGATTAGGACTGGGGCTGGAACTGGGGCTAAACTGGACTTGGACTGGACTGGAGCTGCGCTGAGTTGGACTGGGCTGGATTGGGACTGGCACTGGCACTGGCACTACCACTGGCACTGGACTCGAAGTAGGACTGGGACAGGGGCTGGGCTGGGGCTGGAATTGGTAGCAGGATTAGGGCTGGTGCTGGAATTGATGCTGGTACCGGGTCTGGGCTGGCCTGGGCGGGCTGCGGCCCCGCTGGGTGGTGCTGTTTGTTATCCCTGCGCCGCCTGCACAAGTATCCCGTTTATAACATAAATGCAACCCAACGCCGCCTTAAACCACATGACACAGCAGCAGCCTGCGAGCGCCCATTAAAATCTCAATTTGGGGAAATTGATTCTACCTCTGAGCAATTGCCGTGCAATTACTCCAACAGGCAGCAATCAAGAATCACATCAAAACAACACCAAACTTTCATCTCCTGCCTTGCAACCACCACCACAACAAAAAGCACCTGTCTTGCAAACACAGCCCGGTTTCCTCCCATGTATGTGATATTTAGGAAGGGCAACGTGCAGGTCCCGACAGTGGAAGTAAGCCTGGACACGGATTCCTCTGCTTGGTGCCTCTGAGGTGTCCTGACCGGGGGCTATCTCCTGTGCTCCTTGCCTGGGGTTAGGGGCTGTTGACAGACTCAGTTCATCCGACCTGCTCCAGATGTGGCCGTCCCTGCCCATGTCCCACACCTGTCCAGTTGCTCTCCCCACCTCAGTGCTTGCAAACACCCCAGCGCTTTGTAACCACGGGATTTAGGGGAGATAAATCTTTGTTGTCTCTGCTAACGAAGCGCTCCGGTGTCGATAATCGCGATCAGCCCCGTGATGAGCTATTTAACGGGAAGGGCAGAATACCGGGAAGATATTTTCAGTTCTCGCCAGTGATCTGCAAGGAATTACTCGACTGACTTAGCCCAGTAGGGTGCATTTTTAGTGGCAAGCATCAGAAGGGAGGATAAATGAATAACCGCATGGTTAGTATCAAGCCGGACAGAGGAAGCGCGCTGGGCAGGGAAAATGGGAGAGAATCGAGGTTTCCTTATAAAAGAGGCTCGGGAGGAGAAGGAGGAGGCAGCCGGCGAGCGGACCGACGGCGGAAGGGCCATGCAGGGGCCGGGGCAACACGCGGGGGTCCCGGCTTCCCCCCTTACCTTGGCGGCCGCATCAGCCTCTCCAGCCCGCCGCGGGGGTCGGTGCGGGGAGCGACGGCTTGGTTCTGTTCCGGGAGAGGTAACGCAACCACAGATGAGCCCCAATAAAACAATGCAGGACAGCACCGAGGAGCCCGAGGGCTGGCGTGGCGGTGGCTGGGCACGGCCGGCGGGCAGCACCCCCCCACCCCGGCCCGGCGGGGTGCAGCGCGGCCTCGCTCAGCGGGACGCGGGGAGCCGCATCGCCCTCCCGGAGCATGTGAGAGCAGCCGAGGAGATAGAGCCAGATAGGGAGGTCCCCTCCTTCCTTCCCTCCCTCCTTCCTTCCCCCCCTCCTTCCCTCCCTCCTCACAAGCTGAGCAGCGTAGTTAGCATACACGGAGGGAGGGCGGGCACAGCACCGGGCAGAGAGGGAGTAGTGGGGGTCCCCAGTGAACCCCCCCCCATGTATGCCCTCTCCCTGTGAAGGGACACAGGGATGGGAGGAGTGGAGGGGGGTTTGCAGGGTACCCAGAGGGATGGGGATGCTCCACCTGCAGCGAGGGGTATGGAGGGGAAGGTGGGTTTGGGGGGCACCTCCTCTCCAGTGGATGGGGCGTGCATAGGAGCTGAGAGCATCTTTGTGTTGTCAGGGATTGTGGCAAGGATGGGGGTCGGGAGTAGGAAGAGGACCCTCTGCAGGGCTGTGTGCATGCAATGGGGAAGGGATGGAGAACCCAGGCTCTAGCAGCATCTTGGTGTAGGCATCCCACCCCAACACCCAGCACTGCCTGGAGCTGGGCAGTGTAGCAGCCTCCCCCTCCAGCCCTCCTCCACCACTGGGGTGAGCCCCCATCTCCCACCGAAGCCTGGGGGGACCAATTTTGGCATGCATGGGTACCAGGGTGCCTGCTTTTCTGCTTCTGTGATGGGAAAGCTCTGGGTGCAAGGCTGTGCCAGCCAGAGTGTCAGACACACAATTAATTACTGCAGCCCGAGAGCCTCAAACATGCTAAATATGCTGTCACCGTAGTGCGTGGATAATAGCAGCCCTTTGCAAAGTGTTTCTTTCTCTCCTTTTTTTTCCCCAGTGCAAGAGACAATCGCAGCCAGCACACAACAGCTCTCCTCTGCTTGATTAAGTCAGCAGCGAAGACAAAATGTGCCCATACAGCTCAGGCTTAAGGAGGGATTTGAGTGTGTGTTAGATACAAATTAGAAAATGGATGTGATTTAATCACAACAAATCTAAACAGCCCTGCTACAGAAAGCCTGCCATCAAAGAGGTTTCTTAAAGGGGGGTGCTATAAGTGTATAGTCCTGACAAAGGAGCAGTGTGTTTGGGGATTGAATTGCTAAAGCAAGAGCAGAGAAAAGGCTGGGAGAGCTTGATGTATACCAGATAAGTTATCAGCTATAGAAGGAACAGCTTCCTTCCGTAATAATTATTTGTAAATCAGTTCACAGTTCTGGATACTGCTGTGCCTGGACAGTATAGCACAGACAGAGACACTTCTGTCAGGCCTGAGATGCAGCACAGACAGGAAACCAGCCACAAACCCTGCCTGAGAGAAGGTAAACTGCTTGTTCAGAGGAGCCCAAGTGAATGCAGCAGACAAAGGAGGCGGGGGGGGGGGAGAGAAGTGATGGCAAGCCCAGGCCTTCTTCCTGCAGGTGTGCACAGTGGGTCGGGCTGCAGTCCCAGGCTGTAAAATACCATACACTGGAGCGTTACTAATCTGAGCACTTGGGGACAGTGCCACCGCTGCTCAAGGCAGACATCACCACCATGAGCACACCAGCTACAGTTGTGCTGGGGAAGCGCTTCCCTGAGAAGAAAGAGCACAAGGAATGCTAATGCACAGGGTGCTGGGAATGCGTCGGTAACTGTGGCACAACATCACCGTGACGGCAGCAAATTGGTGCTTAGCCTGGTTCCTGTTGGGAGCTGGGAACCCTGGAGCAGGGAGGCTCCAGCAAAGCACAGCTGCGCTTGTGGGAACACTCAGAAGTCTCCGCTGGCCACTTCCCACAGCTCTTATCAGCGCGCTGTTAATCTTTGGCATCGCAACAGGAGTTGGCACCTTCAGTTCCAGGTGCAAGGTGCATGTCTTTGACCTTGCCATTTCCTCCATAAACACCCGGCAAGGTGTAGAGTGTACGTGTAGGTGTAACGGCACCCTCCATGGGCACCCTCCTGCCTCAGCTTCACCCCTGGGGTGAGCGCAGCACCCAGCTAACAGGCACTGGTGTGGATGCAGCAGATAACTCTGGGCTGTGGGAGAAGGACTTGATGGAGAATGGACTTGTGGCCTTTTACATAGGCTCCAAGTGAAGCAGTGTAAATTTGCTCCGGGGTGTAAAGTACATCCAGGTAAAAATGAAATCCAGGATATTATATTTCCCTGTTCTTTGCTTGTCCAATTTAGTGCCTGTGACCGTTTTCACCCACTTGTACTGAAGATGAATTTTTCCCTCTCCTTGCACAGGGACCTACTTGGCCACAGACCAACCACAGCAATAGTGCCAGTACACGTTGTCCTTCCAGAAATGATAAAGACAACATGACCGAGTAGGCAGTTAGAGGAGGAGCTTGGCTGTGGGAGAAGAGGAATGGTAATGCAAGATCTATCCTCAGCAGGCAGGTGGCTGTCCCAAGGAGCAGGAAGGTTCAGGTGAGCTGGGGAACATGGATGGGTTGTGGCACGTGGCAGAGATCGCTCCAAAGCTCACTGTAGCTGATGGAAGTCATCTTCAAGGGGTTGTGGGCATCACCAGGTTGAGATGCAGGGGCAATGGAGAGTATGAGACACACAAGCTTTCCATTTGCCATTTTTATCCATGCACAAGAGTCACGTAAACATATTATTTTGAAGCCATTTTCCATGCTGCAACTGTCTTCCTTGACCTCTAAAAGATCTGGCTGATCCTGATCTTGAGATGAAAGATTGCCACCTCACAGGCCGTGAACACCCATCCGTGAGATTAGGCTCTGAATTATTAATACAATCAATGACTACCTCTTTTCATCCTAGAAGAGGCACAAAGAAAAGCTACAGGGGCCCTGAAAGGGAGCTAAGGAGGATTCTCAAGCAAGGGGGGAGAAGTCACCAGTGGGAGCTGGTTTTCTTTGGGTGGAAACGCCTCCTGTGTCTGTTTTATTTTGGAGCAGGAACAATGGCACTATTCAGGAGATGATGACCCAGCTGCAGTGGTAGAGCTGAGGGTGGCACTGAGAAACCCCCTGTGAAGACTCTGTGCCTAAGGAGGGACATCCGTCCTTCCAACCCCTTTCCTGTGCTCAGTGCGTCATGGGCTAAACCAAAACGTGGTCCCCAAGAGCCTAAACTTCAGAGCTAAAGGATGGAGAACCATTGAGGAGAAGGGCTGGAGGACAAAGAGATGGGTTTACCCTTCCAGTACCACAAAGCTACTGACATTTACACTGTGTCACCCACCACTGTGACCCTCAGGCAGCTGACAGAGCCTCTGTTTTGTGGGGTGTGTTTAAGCTCTCTATGGGGTTTCTTCACTATGGGGAGGACACGGATGTCTCCACTTCAGTAGAATTGGTTCTTTTCTGCTCTTTTCCCTGTTGCGTTTGGGAGGAAGGTACGAGGTCCCCATCCCATCAAGGAGCAGAGGAGAGGCCCAACTCCCCAATCCTGAGCCCCATGTGGAAAATGAAGCCAACTGGAAACCAAAAATAAAACACTATCTTCATTCCATTTTTCAAGAGGTTAAAAAAAAAGTGCTATTGTGCTAACAGAGCTATTCTTTCTGGGTAGATAATGCAAAGCATTGCCTTAGAGCTGGCCAAAATATGAGAGCCTTTTTTATCCTCTCATTTTCATTAAAGTTCATATCAACATTGCAAATACGATAAGAAAAGAAGCGTACAGTTACAATTATGTAGTGCTTTGTGATCGCAAACAGATTCTGTAATCCCTACTCAGGGGGTTTGAGCTGAATTTAGCTTGCAGCATAAAGCTGAGCTCAGCCAAGACTACTCTCCTACTCTGTATGATCCTCATCTGCGCTCCGGTCACACGAGAGGCCCATGGCAAGCCAAGCAAAATCTCACAGATGCATCAGCTGCCCTGGCTGGGGACCAACCTCCTTTGTCCTATGCAGCCATTTATTAATATTCTTCTATCTGTTACTTTTGAATTGACGCTTGCTTTAAGCATCAAAACCTGGTACCGGTTCAACTGCAGGCTGAGCAGTAAATGCACAGGGTGGGTACTGAGAAACACCAGAAGTCCTTTCTGTGGCTGGGTATTGCTGTAGAAAGTATTTAAGCATTGGTTCAAGAGACTTTATGATTCTACCACATCAGGAGTTCAACAGTGCTGAAAAGCTGCATGCGGGCACAGCGCTAGTGGAAAATGGGAAGATCTGGCAAAGATGACATGGAAAAGACTGTTGAGCTTCATATCTCTGATGAACCTTTCAGTGGCTGCAGCCAAGGAGTCCTTCTCACCATGGCTGAGAGTGAGCATTTGCAGGCTCTGACCTTGTCATCAGTGTCTTCTCCCAAGTGAGGCCACGGCCCATGGGCAAAGGCAGGATCCTGAGCAGATGCAAATATTCCTTCTCCCTTGCCTGTGCTTCTAACCCATCTGACCTCAAGGGATTTCCAGCAGGCATGGGAGCAGTCATCGCATTCAGCATGGCCATCCTATGTTTAAATTTAGGCATGAGCTGCGCTACCTAGTGAAGTGGGACCCTTAGTGCATCATTTATAGTAGAGCAACCCCTGTCACTTCTATGGACTCAGTGGAGCATTGCAATCCACAGCAAACATTAAATTCAGTGCCCTGCTTCACACAGATAAAGCTATAGAGACAGAGAGATGGACAGGAGTCAAGTGCATCTGGGCTTCTGGGGAGCAACCCCAGTTGCTCATGCCTTCTGCTGTCATTCCTTGACTACATTGCAAGATGGAAAGAGCAAAAGGGTAAGGTCAGTGGCAAGACTATCATCCTCAGCAAAAATAGCCCCTCACTGTGGCACAGAGCTTACCTCAGTTTCCAGACAGCTGCTAGATTAGAGAATCATTTTTATATCATCACATCTCCTGCAGCAATCTGTGAAGAGCAGCTTAGGGAGGCATTTGGCTTTTATGTGAATTTAGACTGCAGTTTGTAAAAGTGCTTCGTTCCTAAAATACAGATGAGTTTTACTGCAGAGCCTAGTACATTAG